GGCATTCGTTCCGTTCGAACTCGAAATGGCGCTCCCGTCACGGGGGTGCTAGCGTCAAGGTGATTATCGGCGCTCGGGTGCTCATTGGTTCAGTGGTGCTCCCAGGCTTTGGAGTGATGCTCACGGCCGTCGTGGTGTTCATAACAAATGTGATGCTCAGGCGTTGTTTAGCTGAAAACACAAAACGGGTCAAAACTTTCGTAGCGCCAGTGTAGTACGGCTACCACTCCTACTACTACGACTACGACGACGACTGCTACTTCAGCATGTTTTTGCATATGCATTGTTTGGGCGAGGAGGGTGGTGGCGGAAGCTACTGAAGTCTATTCAGGCCAGTGGGGTGATAAATGTAACGGGCTCTTGCATACCCAAATGCGATTCCAATCCACCCTTCCCCCGAATGAGTACGATACATATCCAGCCATTGAACACATTGATCCCGGCAGTGCTAGGTGCTAGGTGGCACCCAGTCGGAAAGGGATCCAACACTTGACACCCTTTGTATTCAGTGGCCCACTACACAGTGCCAGCTAGACGCTGCTACCCACATGTGCTCAGGCTCCTGTCCTGGTATGGTAGATGGGGTGTTTCACGTACGCTTACGTCACTTGGGCAGGATAAGGCTGAGGATCAATGTGGCGAAGAAGGACTGAGGATATAGCCGGACTTGGAGGGGAAGTGCGGCGGGGAAGAAGTGAATCAGGGCCTTTGCAGTATCAGTACGCTCTGGGTGTAGCTTCTTTTTCTGCGGTCTGGTTATCGGTGGGAGGGAAGCCGGAGGATGATACCCGTGCGCTTTTGTATGTTGGGCTGTCCGCAGGGAGGGTGGACATGGTGGGTCCGAACATTGTTGCATGGAGCTGCTCCGCAGCTGTACGCTGGCAGCGCCCAGAGGCGCCCGAGGAATGAGGCCATCTACGTGTGAGCCGCTGACCCGCCATCACCCAGCTAGCGTGCCAGAGGTGGCTCTCCGTTGGCGCGCTTCGCCCTCGGCAGAATCCGGCGGAGATAAAACTGCGGCAGCTCCGCCGGCAGATCGGCGACGGAACGCCGGTGGGATGCGGCGGAAGTCACAGCGATGCCTTAGCACTTCTGGACCCAGGGCCTGTATGGGGTCGGCCTACCTAGGAAGTCGGCACAGCGGAGGGCATGCGGCATCACTGGCTCCGCCTCTGGGTTGCGCAGGCCGCCGGATCAGCCCGCGGTCGTGCTGAAGCGCCGCATCTGCCGGGAGGAGCTTGCCCCACTCGCTTGTGCACAGGGCCCGCGCGCCTGACGACATCAATAGCGAATTCGGTAGAGGTTTTTCTTGGCCGCTTTGTCGGCTTTTGGAGGTTAATGTCGGGCTTCTCGGCTCTGCTCCAGTCGGGTCGTGGGGTTGAGGGGGAAGGGCCATCACTGCTCGGGGCGGGGGTCTGCCCTCGTGGGGGCGGCGGTTGCAGTTGTCTTCTCTCCGCTCCTGATAGGTCACCCGCGAGGGCGCGACGATGATCGCACTTCTCGTGTCGCAGTCTGAGCTAGAGGGGGCTTCTCCAAGGGAGCGGTGCGAGGGCGCACCGCATCGCGGGGCGCGGGGCGCGGAGTTGGTTGAGCTGGGGAGCGAGCTTCGAGAAGTTTTCGGAGGTCCGCGTATCGGCGCTGGGCTCTTGCTGGCGGCGCCTCCAGCGCACCCCCCTGGCGCGCTCCGCGCGCCGCCGAGGGGGGAGGCAGCGCCGACCCAAGAAATGCGCGCGCGTGCCTCCGAAAGTGTATGTGTATGGTGTTGTCTGTTTTTCCGGCTGCCACTACTGAAGAGGAGAGCGAGTTTGTGGTGGGCCTAACAGGTAGCACTTGGTGCGCACCAACAAGTGCAACGGACGTGAGAGACGTGAGGGCGTCGATCTCGAGGGGTCGAGAGATTGATCTCCCTCTTTCTTGTTGACGTGCTTATATTTACTTGTGTGTTCTTTCACGTTCTCTCGTGTTCGTTCTCTCGTTTTGTTGTTGCTCTCTCTCTCTCTCTCTCGCTATCTATATATGTCTTTCCCCCTCTCTCTGGGCAGTGCTGACGGACGTAGGAATCTGATTCGCAATGCCAGTTCGGTACCCAAGCAGAAGACGGCCGAGGGTTGACGAGTTTTAGTGGGAGTAGCAGGTTGCGCCCGAAAAATGCCCCTCGATGTCTCATGCATTTCGTCTCTGCTCAATAACCATCGTCACCCTGTCCTCGCCGCTATTCGGGGGACGCACACAAAGCCAGCCTGGGCCAACATTGGGCCCAGGATCGGACTTCCCCACCTGCTTCCTCGTCATCCGACGACGACGGCGACGGCCTCCTCCCTCCTCCTCCTCCTCCCTCTTCCTCCTCATCCTTCCATCCTGCTCCTCCTCCAACGGCGACGACAATGATTCCTCATGCTGCTCCTCTTCCCTCTTCAGTGACGCCTCGACGACGACGACGACAATCGGCGAGGAGCTGCTCGCAGAGGGCAACCTCTGCGAGTTGGGGCTGCCAGACGAGGAGACCCCTCGGCCACCCCCGCGAGCGCGCTGGTCCCCTTTGCGCGCGGCCTCGCCTCTCAGCGGTGATGACAGAGATGATGAACTGGATGTGGGGGAGAAGAGGAGGAGAGGAGGAGGCCACATTGTGATGCTGATGATTATGGTGGTGATGCTGATTTCGACTATGATGATGATTGTTGTGATGATGGTCGTGCTGATTATGATGATGGTGATGTTCGGGAGGTTGGTGCGCCACAAGATCTGCAGGCTTACGGCACGCCACCAGCTTACCACGCTCGAGTGGGAACGCTGCTGCCAAGAGTGCACGCAAACTCAGGCCCCAAGGTACGGTTCCCGGCAGACGGGCGACCCTTCTCCAGCTAATTGAAGGGGTCATGGCTTCAGCGACATCAGGACGCAGTGGATCATACCTTCAAGCCAGCACTTCGGCGAGCGAGAATCTTCAGACTTCAGGTCCTCCTAGCCAGAATCTGCAGAGCATTCGGGGCGCACGCGTCCCCGCAGCAGACTCACCTCCAGAGGCCCGTGCGCGGCTGCTGGTTCGCAGTGCCGCCGACGGCTGGTGGCCGACAGACACCTGCCCTCTGGCGCCGTATACACGATTGCTGACCACAGACGGATTGCATCGCACGCGAACCACATCCCTTTTCGGCTCCTAGGGTGGAGGGGGACTCACCCGTCTCCTGGCCGTGCCACCCGCCTCGCCCGCAGGTTTCTCTTTTCTTCTTTCTCCGTTCGGCTTTTTTGCGGCCAGCCATGTGGCTCTTGTCCCGAGCGCTCTGTACATCGCAGCAAGAGCTAGTGATCCGCATAATGCGGCTGGCGAGCGAGGCTGCACACACGAGGCAGCGCGACACCAGCACAGCGGTGCCGGCGAGGCTGATCCGGGGGACCTCGAGATCACGACCCTGAGCCCGACAAAGGCGAAATGTGCCAACACCTTCCTGCGGCAGGCGTGCACGGAGATGGCGACGGAGGGGCCCTGGCAGCGGCCCGCGCGCGCGGCACACGCAGCGAAGCTCTAGGTACCCCACACCGGGCCGTGCACTCCGTGCGCGGCCGCACGCGCGGATGGCGCCGACGAGGGGCCCAGCATTGCACGGCCAGCGCTAGAGCACCGAACAGCAGCCAGCCTGCAAAAGGCTGCGCCGTGCACCGCCGCCGCGCACGAGCGCCCAGCAGCGCAGGCCACCTCGACGGCCTCGCCGTGGAACGGCAGGACAGTGACGGTGCCGAGTCCCTTTGATGCGGCCAGCCGCACGCACAGTGTTCCTCCTCCTCCGGGGAGGGGGCGGCACCGTCGCGAGCGCTTGAACGGGACCTGATCGAGAGAGCTGAATTGTACCCAGCTCTGTGGATGGAGAGCAAGCGGGAACCCGCCTGGAGGCGTGGCCGCATGCGCAACCACTCCCACGAACACGGCGACCACCACCCTCGCACCCGCACGACGCGTTGCCCCTTCACGCAACAGCGGACGGCGGTGCCTCCAGGGCACGGCGGCAGCCCAGCAGCTTCTTTGACGTGGCTGTGCGCGCGCATGCCCACCACGGCTACAGCCTGCACGACGCCCAGGGGTGGCCAAGAGACGGCGCGGCCCGCGTTGCCCCAGCGCGGTGCCGAGTTAGTCGGGCTCCTCTGGCAGCGTCGCGATGCGGCACGCAGCCATGAAGGCGAGTTCAGCTTCGTTGCCGAGGAGGGCCAGGGCCGTGGTCGCGAGCTGGCAAGCGATCCTGCCACCCTGGGCACGTGCCTCTCCTCATACAGTCAACCCGCATAGTAAGGATGAGTGACTTTCCGAGGCTACCATTGCATCCTTGTCCCTTCGGCCCATCCTTGATAATTGTCGCTGGCCAACCTCAATCGAAAAACGTTAGCGTGGCCTTCCAAGGCCCTTGCATCCTTATATACCGAGCATCCTTATTATACGGGTTGACTGTAGACACGCACTGCGGTGCGTTTCGGGCGATAGGCGCACCGCGGGCTTCGAGGTCGGCCCGCTCGGCAAGCCCGAGTGAGGTCGGCCTCTCCGCAAGGGCAGCCCCTGGCGGGCGGCGGTCCGATCAGCATCCGCAGAGCCGTTGCCTGCCGCGGCGCGTGGCGGATCGCCACGCGCCGTGCGCGCGCGCAGCGATGCGCGGCAGCGGTGGGCATTGTCGCACTTTGCCGCTTGCCCGCAGGCGCGCGGCGAAGTGCTGGGAGCAGGCGCGGCGGCACAGGTCCTCGGGAAGCCACACCTGGCCCGCCCCGCACTAGAGCCCATCGCGGGAAGCGTCCCCCTTGAATGGCGAGTGCCCGGTCGGCCTGCCACCATGGTGGCACCCCGTCTTCTAAAGGATCCACCGTCCATCCGTCCAGCTCAGCGGGAGGGAAAGAGGTAGGATGACCATCTTCGAGGAAGTGCCCAGCGATGGTCCCGTTCTGAGACGGATCTGCCCTCCATCCACGTAGCGGTTGGACGAGCTCAAAGTTATGATCATCATGTAACGGAGGACGTCTCAAGCACGACGCCATTTTGGAAAAGGAGCCGCCTTCCATCCGTGTAGCTGCTCGGGCTGTCGTATTGGAGCTCGATAGCCGCATTTCGAAAACCACTGGCCCTCCATCCATGTACATGTTAGAAACGTTCAAACACATGCGTGCATTGCTAAGGCGAGAGTCACCTTTGAATGAAATGCCACCGGCCCTGCATCCTATAGTTGCTGGGAGTTTTTAAACCGAATGCGTGCAGCGCCAAGGGGAGAGTCGCATCTTGAATATCACCAGCCCTCCATCCTTGTAATCGTTGGAGTTCTCAGCTTCAGGATCGCGATTTGCAAGGAATTCTCAAGTGGAACGCCTAGCCCGGCCTACGGACGCGTCTGGTGGTGCGGCAGGATGTGTGGTTAATTCAGATTTCAGGCGGATGCATGTCAAGGTGGTCGCTGAAGTTGTGAAGAAGAAGTAGTGCGAAGGTGCGAAGGAGACGAAATGGAGATATCTGATCCAGGATTCGTCCCCCAGTGCTAATGAGATCGCCCCCCCCCGCTGGGTGGATGCGCCCGTGACCTCGCGAAGGCCTCGCGCATGAGATCTTCCCCGCCCCCGCCGTGGTCGTGGCCTTGTCGGCGTGGCGTGGTGGTGGGTGGTGCCGGTGCCACCCCCTTCCCCTGAGGACGTGGGGTGGTTCGTCGTTTTCGTCGTCGTCGTCCGTCGTTCATCGTCCATCGTCGTCCGTCGTTGTCGTCGTCGTCGTCGTTGTCCTTCCGTCCGTCCTTCTCCTCGTCCTCGTCCTCGTCCTCGTCGTCGTCCTCGTCGTGGTCGTCCCCCCCCATCCCATCTGTTTGCAGGGGGGGGGGGAACCATGTGGTTCATCCCATCTGGGGGTGGGGCATGTGAACCCTCGACTCAGGATCATACATGGGGGGACGAGGAGGATGTCAAGGATGATGAGGACGTCTCACACCAGTAGGAGTGTACTGTCAATGATGTGGATGGTGTCCAAGAGAGCGCTGATACTGGAGAGGGGGACTAGGAAGGATGACGACGGGCAAGCGGGACGACGACAATATAGTTCAAGAAGCAGCGGGAGGTCAAGGAGGAGGCTGCAGCTGTGGAGCACGACTAGGGGTGGGAGCAGGAGGAGGAACAGGAGGAGTCCATACACCCGCTTTAGAAGTATATTGAATGACCAACCCTTCTAAACCTTAAGCTTCTAAAGATGCTCCTACGCAGTGCCGCTCTCCTTACCTTCAAAAACTGCTCAACATATTCCGATCCTGGGGATTCTCGAGTGCGATGGCGGCTACTTCACGGTGCTTGGTACGAGTTGCCAGGTATGAGGAACTTTGAGCATGAAGGGTGGCCAGAATGTAAGGGTGGACACGAGTAAGTTTGGATGGTGAGTCTAATGTTGTCTTGGACGAGTGGTTGCGCATGAGTACGAGTGAACTTGATGGTGACTGAGTCTGATGGTGAGCGTCTGGGTATGAGTGAATCTGAGTGTAGGTGTGTCTGAGTTCGGGTGAGTATGCGTATGAGCGAGTTGTTGTGCGAATCGACTTCTGCCACCGAGTACGATGGGGTATCTGAGTGTGGGTGAGTGCTGTGAGTGGCCGCGGCGCGTGATCACTCGGGCGTCTGAGCGACTGAGTACCAGTGCCGCTGAGTCGTGAATTCGTGGGGACGGGTGATGAGTGAGGAACGCGGGGGGGCGTGAAACCAACAGTTGTAACCCAACACTTTCCAGTGACACATATCAACATGCACATACACTCTCGGAGGTCTTCGCAGATGTATCAGGTCGGCGCTGGACCCGCCTGTACCAGATGTTGGGCGGTGGGTCCAGCGCCGACCCGAGAAATCCGCAAGGACATCAAAACACGTCTGATTATATGTGTGAATCGCTTCGCTCACTCCGCCAGCCCGTATTGTGTCATCGCAGGCGTTTGCTTGCGCGTGTGTTGCTTCTTGGAGCCGCTTGGGAGCCGTTTGCGGGCCTCTTGGGGCCTCTTTTTAGGCCTCTTGGGGGCCTCGTGGGTCCTCCAGGGGCCCGCCTGGGCCCTCTTGGCGCGTCGGAAAGCCGAAGAGGCGAGAAGGCTGAGAGCCTGAAACAAAAATAGGAATATTAATGCGTTTGGTTTTGTGAGACCTCTTGGGAGGCCTTTTGGAAGCCTCTTGGGCGTGGCGGTCTCTTGGGCCGTCTCGAGGCCATCTTAGGCGGCTTGGAGCGATTTTGGGGCGTCTCTGGCCCCTCTTGGGGCCGCCTTGGGGCGTTCTTGGGCCCGTGTGGCCGCCTCTTGAGCCGTCTGGGAGCCATCTTGGGCCATCGTGGGGCCATATTGGGTGCCTCTTGGGCTGTGTTGGGGCGGCCTTGGAGGCCTTTTGTGGCCTCTTCTCTTGCCGAAAAGGTGAGAAGGCTGAACAACTCCCCAAACCTGGGAGAATCAATGAATTGTGCCTCTTGGGACGCCTCTGAGAAGCCTCGAGGTGCGTGTAAGGGGCATCGAGGGCAATCGTGAG